ACTGGCAAAGCACTTCTAGTATGGATACAGTTAGCACGCAGTAAAACTGCTTTGTGCTGGTAGAACAAAACCACCCACACCTATCCTGGTATTGTTCCTGGCATAACAGGGGTATTGGGAGCTTCTGTCTGCATCACTCCTCTCAAGACACATGAGCCTCTCAGATGCTTCAGCTAGTTCTAGTGCAGGGCTGGGAAACCTTTTTTGGGTCAGGGGCCCACAGAGAAATCAGTGGGGGGCCACATACAGGTGAGAAAAAACAAGTCCTCACTGATGTGGCCCCCAGGCTGAGAAGAAAGACGCTCCCCACCTTCCCCTCACACACCAGAGCCTAGGCTAGTAGGTTTTGTGTGCTCCAGCCTCCCAGGGGGACGGCGGGAGGGGCTGGAGAGTCAGCACAGGCTCCCCAATGTCAGGGGGGAAGGAGAGCCCCGAGCCTCGGAGACCGGATCGAAGTAACCCTGTTCTAGTGGAACAGGCTGTTCTGCTTAATTTCCCGCCAGGTGCTTCAGTCACAAGACAGCAGAAACAGCTGCCTGGGTCGTTAGTTGGGAGGGGATTTATGTGCACCCCCTCTGTGCAGAGTTAGCAAAAGAGTATGTGGGGGGAAATGACAATGCAATGAAACGCCACCCAGGACAAATGTTCATACATCAGCAGCCGAACAGCCGTCTTACCTGGCTCAGCGCAGGAGCTATAGTCACTGACCACCCCGGTATCGTTCTCTTTGCTGGCTGGCCACCGGTATATGAACAGCGCGGTGCGGGATGGGCCAGCATCCAGCACGATGCCGAACTGAAATACAACACAATAGTCATAAAAAGCTACGTCTCTGCTGAGGCACATTTGCCCCCCGGCTTGTTACGGAGGGGTTGCTTGGCTGCCCAAAGGCTCCGCATTGTCAGCTCCACATGTAACCCGCTGTGACCCTAATTGCATCCCAGAGCTGACTGGGGTCAGGAAACAAGTTTCAGATGCCCTGACACTGATGTCATCATCGGTATCTAATATGCAAGCTGTCATAAATAACGCCTTGGAAAACGAATAACTTTCTGACCATGCCTATTCTTGTATGGTTGGCATATATTAATAATTATGAATAGATGCTGCAATTATGACTAAAATGTGTTTAAGCCAGGCATGTCAGAGGGAGTTGATACACTGATCTGCCCTAGACAAAGGAATGTGTTTGCTTCTCTGCAAACACTGATGCAGCATGGTCATCAGTCAGAAATAATGTAACTCTGTCTACTTATTAGTAAACAAAGCTAGCAAGTTGGGGAGAAGACAGCCTGGTGTCTGCACCCCTGTGGAAGAGAGAAGCTTGCCCTGGGTTTTACTTTTCAAGAAATACACTGCAAAGTTTTACTGGGTTATAACAACAGAGAGGCTGAACTTCAAGTGAGAAGCAACTGACATTGATGGACTGTATGCAATAGTACTGTATTATCAAAGTGTCTCAAGTGAACTGTTTCATGACACATGAGTAATAATTATAATTGCGAACTATATTCCTGAGCACTATATAAGTGAATACTCACTGGTGTTAGGCTTTGCAGTATGTGACCAAACAAAGGGGGTACATCTAGATTGGGTACGTCCACACTGGCTGCTTGAATTTGTGCAAGAGCACTGACTTTGTAATGAACAAAATCAGTGCTTCTTGCACAAATACTTTCACGCTCCCTCTCAGGAAAAAGCCCTCTTGCGCAAGAGGGCCAGTGTAGACAGGGAAGAACTGTTTTGCGCAAAAAAGCCCCGATGGCTAAAATGGCGATCAGGGCTTTCTTGCGCAAAATCGCGTCTAGACTGGCCACGGATGCTTTTGCACAGAAGCACTTTTTGCGCAAAAGCATCCGTGCCAATCTAGACGCGCTTTTGCGGAAATACTTTTAATGGAAAAACTTTTCCGTTAAAAGTATTTCCGCAAAATCATGCCAGTCTAGACACAGCCAGGGAGAAACCACTTTTAGACAGAGAGGAGGGAATATAACAATTGTCTGTCTGTCTCCAAAGAAATTAAGTAAGGAGTGATCAAAAACAATGGATCTCTATTTACACAGATATCAGCCTGGGGATGGGAAACCCACATGAAGGGGAAAACAGCATTATGGCTCCTGCCTCTTGAAACAAGGTCGTTGAACTTTGGAAACATGAGCAAAGGCAAAAGCCATCTCTGGCCTCCATCGCTAGCCAGACCCGATGGAACAGAGCTCTTGCAAGGTAAGAAAGATGGGTCCTTCAACCATGGAGGGCTGAAGTCTCTGGGAACTGAATATAGGTAAGAAACCTGCTTAGGCAAAAATCTTTCACCTAGCATGTAGAATAGTGATAGAAATGTAGCCGTGTTAGTCTGGTGTAGCTGAAACAAAATACAGGAATATGTAGCGCTTTAAAGACTAACAGGACGGTTTATTAGATTTTGAGCTTTCGTGGGCCAGACCCACTTCCTCAGATCAAATAGTGGAAGAAAATAGTCACAACTATATATGGTTGTGACTATTTTCTTCCACTATTTGATCTGAGGAAGTGGGTCTGGCTCACGAAAGCTCATCACCCAATAAACCATCGTGTTAGTCTTTAAAGCACTACATAGTCCTGTATTTTCTTTCACCTAGGACAGTGTTTCTCAGCGTGGGCTGTGGGCCCACTTTGGGAAAGCCGCTAGCGGGCCTGCGCCACTTTGTTTACCTAAAAGGTCCGTAGACATGGAGCTTCTCAGCTTCCATTGGCTCTGGTTCACCATTTCCAGTCAAGATATGCTTTTCCAGCATAACTGTGAACTACACTCTGAGAATGGTTTTACAATTAGTTTGGCATCCTTTGTATAATAGCTCCAACTAGGTTGCATTTCCCTGGTTTACTTCTGAGAAGGTCAGGTGAGACAGTATCAAAACCCACTCTGAGGAACACTGACCTAGGAAAACAAGAGAAGCCCTCCCCTTGTGCTTTATGGAATGTCCTGACAGAGGGGATGGGGGAGTCTGCCATGGGTGGGGAGAAGAATGATAAAGTGAGAGAAACCTTCTTGAACAAAGCCCATATCTTGCTGGGGGTTCTTTCCTACCTCTCATCATTTTTAAGCCACCCGCATCTTCTTCACCTCTCGCTACTCGGAGGAGCTTTAGCTGTTTCCCACGGAGTTCCTACCGACTGCTATGAGGCGTGCGGGGGAGGGGAGCTGCTAACCTACCTCTTCTTTTGTTTTTCAGCTGGTGCAAGGAGATAGCATCTTTCTTTCTAATTTAACATCCATCCTGTGAATAGTTTCTGCTGGCTGCCACTATACCAAGCATCAGCAGAATGGAAATGACTTGGTTCTGATCAATTGCATGGCTATCTGCAGGGGTTTAAACAGCAACAACGAAAACTGACAAGTGTTCATTCGGTGACCCTGGGAAAGCTCTGAGCAGCAGCAGAGACACTGGAGCTGTGGTTCTGCAGACTCAAGCAGGTTTTGCTTCATCAATCACACTCCAATCACATTTATAAGCTTATCTTCCCAACCATAATGGCTAGAAACTTTTTTTTTTAAATTAGAACATTGGTTTTGCAGAAGTTGGTAGCACTTGTCTGGACAATGCTTGCTACACTTCATGAATGAGTGGATTTTTCAAGCCCTGCTAATGAGTAAAGGCTAGTGTATCTGGGGACAAACAATACCTTACTGCATGCTACCCACTGAGACAGTCAGATTCAGGGGGAGTACAGCAGCTGATGTGAGCAAGGTCGAACTTACTAGATTCGGGGGGAGTACGGTAGCTGATGTGAGCAAGGTCGAACTTACTGGACTAGAAAGAAGAAGAGCCCTCAGACGAAGAGGTCCCTATAGCAAAAGATTAGGATCAAGGTAAAACAAACAGCTGCTGAGGAGTTCAAACGAAAGCCCACAGACCTTCTGCGGTATTTAGATGACTTTACTCGTGGCCACAATCAAGGATGGAACTAACACTCCAAACTTTCTTCATATGTCAGATTAGAGGTCACGGAAGCACAGTCTCTGTATGTTTCCTTATAATGCTGCTGTAGGAATAGCCTTTGGACTCTGGGAGAGGATCCTGCCCTAAGAATTTTATATGTCTGGTATTTTCTCAGTTTGTTTTTTATGTGTTTATATTTTTGGGCTGCAAAAAACAGCACAGGAAAAAAAGGGTTCCAACTAAAGTAAAAAGTTTGGGAAACCCGGGTCTAACCAGCTTTCTGTCTGTCTTACACTCCATTTATCCAATCCGTATCCCTTAACTTGCTGGCAAGAATATTGTGGGTGACCATATCAAAAGCTTTGCTAAAGCTGGCACTGGGGGCTTTGGGAGGACCAGAAACAACTTATTTGAATATTCATCATTTGATTAATGAATATGCAAATATGCAAATGAATGCTACTGGTCCTCCAAAAGTTCGTGAATGGATTTACTGGTCCCCGTGTCAAAAAGTTTGGGAAACTCTGGTCCAGAGAACAGGATGAAAAGCAAGCCACATCCTGGTGCACACGGCTGCTGCCCCCCTACCCTCCCAAAACTCTGCCCTTGCTGCTGGGGGTCACAGCTGCTAGGCCAGGGCTGTCCAGTCCTTTACACAGATGCAAAGGAGGAGCCCAGGTTGGGAGTCACAGCAGCAAAGCACGGTGAGGCACCCCAGTTTGCAGGGTAGGGGTGCCACCATTTGGTGCCCCATTTAACTTGGTGCCCTAGGCGACAGCCTAGTTCGCCTGTATGGATGAGCCGCCCCTGCTCATGTCAATATTCCCCTTTACACACCTTGCAAGCCATAGGCAGCTAAGCCCACCTCTGTGACAGCCATTCCTTACCTTGGACCTGGGAGGGTTCTGCACATCTTTGGTGGTGACAGAAAGCAGCAGGATCCCAATCAGTCCCGCTAAAATCACCAGGGAAGGGGGCAGAAGCTCAGGCCAAGACATCAGGCTCCTTCTGCGTCTGCTGAGTGAAAGGGGAAACTGTGGAGCAGCAAGCAAGAGACTTTCTGAAACTCATTCTCAGCCTACCAGCGGGGGTGAAAGGTGGAGCCAGATTCTGGCTTTCTGTACAGCCGAGGCCACAAGAAACAGACTGAGACTCAATGTGTATACAGTGGTTTCCTCTTTCCTAGCAGGCCAATAAACATAAAATGACTATGCGCTTATTGAGTGTCTGCAAAGCCATTAATGCAGATCTGAGTTAGTATTAGCCCCCATCTTTAAGTAGGTCTCTTCACCAGCTAGATGTTCTTTTCCATTTTAAGCCATTCTATGCCATTTTAACTTAAACTCTCAAGGCAAAGAAGCCACATATCCTCCTTTGACTTGCTACGGCTGCCACCTTTATGCACAGAACATAAGAACATAAGAACGGCCGTACTGGGTCAGACCAAAGGTCCATCTAGCCCAGTATCCTGTCTACCGACAGTGGCCAGCACCAGGTGCCCCAGAGAGGGTGGACCGAAGACAATGATCAAGCAATTTGTCTCCTGCCATCCCTCTCCAGCCTCTGACAAACAGAGGCCAAGGACACCATTTTATCCCCTGGCTAATAGCCTTTTATGGACCTAACCTCCATGAATTTATCCAGCTTCTCTTTAAACTCTATTATAGTCCTAGCCTTCACAGCCTCCTCTGGCAAGGAGTTCCACAGGTTGACAACACGCTGTGTGAAGAAGAACTTCCTTTTATTAGTTTTAAACCTACTACCCATTAATTTCATTTGGTGTCCTCTAGTTCTTCTATTATGGGAACTAATAAATAACTTTTCTTTATCAGCCCTCTCCACACCACTCATGATTTTATAGACCTCTATCATATCCCCCCTCAGTCTCCTCTTTTCTAAACTGAAAAGTCCCAGTCGCTTTAACCTCTCCTCATATGGGACCCGTTCCAAACCCCTAATCATTTTAGTTGCCCTTTTCTGAACCCTTTCCAAGGCCAAAATATGACAGATGACAGCAGGAGACTAGGTGCATTTCTGGGCGCTCTAGTATTTTCTATGTCCCGTGCAACTTTGCCCAAAAGAAACAAAGTTAAAGTACAGAAAGTTAAGGGGAAGTTCAGCAGAGACGTTTGTGCAAGCAGCGTAAGGAGAAGTGTCTGGAAACTAATCTGGCATTAGAGGAGCGGAACTGCCTCCAATGAATATGGAGTGCGGTGGTGTTGAAGATTTATAGATAACAAAATGGGGAAATCCATAGGAAAGAGTAGGAGGGCTGGTGCAGGAGGGCAGCGGAAGACCCATAAAGAGAAAACAGTGATCTGAAACAAGGAAATGGTTCATAAAAGAAAAAAAATCATCAAGCGGGAACGAAAATGATTGCAAAGAAGCAAAGCCGGAATTTCCACTCAATCCCAATTTGGAAATGTCACGGGGCTCTGGGTGAACCCAAGCCGAGCCACAGAGCCCCTCAAGGATAAACTCTAACCCTTGCTACCAGTCGTCAAAGAGGGGTCCTTTTATTAACAAAACCTCAGGTGCTTGGTTAACAGAAACACAGCTCTCTACAGATAAGTGTCCATACTTAACAGAATCACAGCCTTCTTGGCTAAAGTCTCTCAGTAACGTGCCTTGGTTAATGGAAACATAGCCTTCCCAACTAAGGTGCACAAGTAAGAGTCTTTGGTTACCCGAAACACAGCCTTCACAGCTAAGGCCCACAGGTAAGTGTCTTTAATTAACAGAAGCACGGCTTCCTCGGCTAAAGTCCATCGTCAGGGTGCTCCTGGAGTGGCGAGCAGAAGGGTTGGCATACGGATCGGGGTAGGGGGACCCAGGTCTTCCCTCTCCACCAGGTCCTGACCCAGGACAGGGAAATGGTCCACTGTCCGGGTTCGTGGGGTCAAGCCGAAACTCACCAACCCCACGGGTACAGCAGATCCACCCTGGGCCATTTCCTATGACAACACGGCGGCCTATCCTCAGTCGTCTTCCAGCGGGGTAGTCAGAGTCCCTAGGGGTCCCATCGAGCGGAAATGGCGCCACAACCGAAGTCGTCCTTGCCGGTTCTAAAGCCGGGGCTGTTCCACATGGGGAAGCTTTCCTGTAGTCCGGAGAACCCCCGTCTGGGTGGGATAAACTATGTCGACTGGCCGGGTGGAAGCCAGAACAGCCCAGTGTTTCTTAAACTGCGTTCCGCAGCACACCGGTATGCCCTGAGGCAGTCGGAGGTGTGCCACGGAGAACAACAGAATTTAAAATGGCCCGCCCTGAAAGGTTTTTTTTTCTCTCAATAACTTTCCCCTGATTTTTTTTTTTCTCAACAAAAAATCCTTGGGTGTTCCTCATAAAAAAAAAAATATTGCTTGGTGTTCCTCGGTCTTAAAAAGTTTAAGAAACGCTGCCCTGGCCACTCCCAAAAGGGGTCTGGCCTGAAAAACCCCTTTGTAGGGTGGCCGGCTGCCCCCGAGTCCACCAGGCTCCTCTCTGCTTGTTTTGCCCCGAGCGCCTGTTTTTCTCCAGGCGGCGGAGCTGGGCCCCCTGCAAGCACACCGACTCCGGGCGGGCGGGTTCCCTCCGGGAATACACACCCAGCGCTCTCGAAGCGGGGGAAGCCCTGTCCCCGGCCACTGCACCTGCGCCACTCCTGTCTGACCCCCCTTCCCCTTCCAGGGCGGAGCCTCTTATGGCTG